TAACATCATTATCGCTGCTTAAAATTAGCATATCATCCACATAAAGACATACAATAAAGTATTCATTATGAGTACTTTTGACATAAACACATTTGTCACACTCATTTATTTTAAATCCATTTGACAACACTACTTTGTCAAATTTCTCATACCACTACTTTGATGCTTGTTTTAAACCATAAAGAAATTTAACAAGTTTACATTTTTCTTTCATATCCATTAGCAATGAACCCTTTAGGTTATTTAATGTATATTTTTCCATCGTATTCACCATTTAATAATGTTGTCTTTACATCATTTGATGTTTCTCAAGACTATTTTAAACAACTATAGTAATGAACATCCATAAAGAAGTTATTCTACTAACGGTGAATAAATGTCGAAATTGCTATTATAAATTCATTCATTGTATTTATCATAGCAATTTTTCATTGTATATATTAACATAAACAAAATGATTCCACAGAACAAGTAACATCAGGTGAGTATAACAGAAAAACAAGAAAGAATTGGTACACAAATACAATTTTTTTTTTTTCATTTCAAGGTGTCTAAACTTACACCGATTATTCTTTCGAGTTCAACGGCTAGTCACCATGACTTAAGTTGGGTTAAAGCATGTCCCTAAAAGGACATGAGTGGCTAATTCTTAGGGCATGTGAGAGTAAATTAAACTTGAGACTTTGAGTTATCAAGAGTGGATCTCTTTTACTAAATCTTCTCCTATTTTTTTTAATGCTAAATTAATTATTGTGTATTGATAAAAGATCCAGACATGCCTCCTTTTTGAAGATTTCTTTCATAGTTTCTCACTTATTTTGTACTACCACCAAATAGATTGCATTGATTTTCGAAGAGTGAGTGTTTTTTTTCTTAAATTGAAATTATATCTCAAATTGCAAGTCCCTTAAAATAAGGCAAAGTTCACTTTCAATCAATAAATCCGTATTTTTTTTCTTTTCAGGATTTATTTCCCGATAGATTAGGTTCATGAACGTTGATATAAGTGGCATCTCTTTTATTATTCTTTGTTGTGTCATCGTTCATGATCGGGTTATGATTTAAATGAGATAAGTTCGGCATAAACATAGCTCATGGTAATCTTGGCATTTCAATGAGACAGGCTTCATATCTTGAAACCAACCTACATCATTTCGAACTAAAATCCAGTAAATTTGAAAGCCCACTCGTGATCATTACTGGGCTGAATTAATCGTCGAATTTGGGCTTTATGCTGCAGCTCATTTATTTTGCAAAGCCCACTGTTCCGCTTATTTAAAGCAACGTGTTAATTGGGGAATTTTGGGGTCACAAGTGCTGCCCTAAATAAAAAGGCTGGGCCACTTGGAATTCTGAACTGGATTGGGCCTAATTTGTCCACAAAAACGGTGTACAGGTGCACATATACATGAAATTCCTTTGACGGTCGAATGAAATTTTTATTATTTTACCTATTTATCTTACTAATTTCATGCGGATCATTACCCCCTGTTTGGTCGGAGGGAAAATAGGGAGGATGGAAAATGGAGGAAGGAAAGTGGGAGAAAAGGAAAATCTTTCTATTATTTGGTATGGAGCGAAAATGGGAGGGAATGAAAAATGGAAGGGAAATGATTTCCCTTGAGCCCACCAAACTTTTTTCTCCCAAAAAATGGACCGAAAATGGAGGGAAGATGAACTTTTTTGTGAATTGACTATTTTACCCACCACTCTCTTCCCTTGAGTCCACTTTTATATATGTAATGGAAGAATTAATAATTACATATACATAATAAAATATATATAATTTCTAGTTAGATACACATTAAATAATTAAATGAAGAATTTTTTTATAAGTAAATTTTATTTTTGATTTTATTTCAATAAATGATACAATAGAACATAAATTTTGATTGTAAAATTTAAAATATTTAATATTTCATCTATAATTAGAGTGTTTCTGGTATAAGTATAGTATTTTAAACTTAAAAATAGTCTAAATATTATGTACTTATAAGGAACCTGTTTGTTAATGATTCAGAGATATGTCTTTTGGGGATAAGATGACCCCATCCAAAGAGACATGTTATTTGGGATTCTCTAATTAGATCAACATACCATACCATAAGCAACACAATTCGAGACCATGAGCCAATTCGATATCCTAGACAATATTAACTAGGAAGAACTTCAGTGTCGATACAATATTAACAAAAGTTATTATGGTCTGGCCTGTTAAGATGATACAATAGTTATTTTTAAATGACCATCTAGTTAATTTAATACAATTTCACCCATTAATTCTCTAACCAAATGCACCCCTAATAAAACCCAACCCCAAAGGGTAACTCAATAGAAACAAGGATGAGTCGTAAATCCAAACATTCCGAGTCTAAAATTTGGCAATTCCCTTAAGACTAGATAATGAGATATTTATCCCTCATAAATTCTCTAATCCTGACGTGAACGTTGATTGAATCAAAAAGAAGATTAGTTGAAATGTGCATAAATTAATCCAAACACTAAGCTAACGGGCTGATCAATCTCAGATATCTTATCTATCGACAAACCAAAGACCGTAATATCAAAAAAAATAATAATAAAAGATTGATATCATGAGCTAGATAAATTTTCTCAAAGACATCTCATGCAAGCATATAGTAGCATGTGCACCTTATTGGTATGGGCAATGACCAATTTCAAATATCTTTAGGCCAGGAGACTGGAAAAATAAGTTAAAAAGAGCCTTGACGCTAATGACTTCGCATATCGCCTCTATTATTAAAATTTAATATTTAATCTAACGGTTATAATAAAATCATATTATTAGTTCAATAAATTTGATCAAATTTATAAGTTAAATTATATAAATAGCATTATTCTATTAGATAATTATGCTAGTATAATCATTGGGTTTCTCGTGAGCTTTGTGGTATATCCAAATTTTTTTAATCACACATGAAAACACCAACTCCCTAAGGGTCAATCACTCATGTTCTTAAGAGACATATTCTAATTTAGTTCGAGTCATTAAGGCAATTGTTGAGCTCAAAAAAATTGTCAGTGTAAACCTGACCACCCTGTACCAAAAAAAAAAACAAAAAAAAAGAAAGAAAGAAAGCACTAACAAGTATTTCTTTTCAGCAATCACTCAACATTTTAATTTATCAAATTTTACACCACTACATTTCATGACCTTATTAATATATCCAGTCAGCTCCCTACAAAAAGCATACAGTAAAGTGATAACAATCTAATGCAACATACAATAAACACCACAAAGATGAATTAAGAGACCAATTCAACAGGCTCAATGCCCTTCTCAATTGATGTTTTGACAGCATCTATCACTAGTTGTGTCTTCCTACTGATTCTTGACCACTTCTTCTCAGGCTGCCTACCATTTTCCTTAATACCTGAAACCAAATTAGCAAACTCACTCACCATTAGGGCTTCCTGAGGAAGATCGGTCGCGACAGTGTGCTCAGTTGGTATCGGTTCAATCCCGATATAGTTTTCCGAAAACCAGGAGTTTTTGAGGTTGCATAAAATGGCCCAACTTTCTCTTTAAAAGGAATGCAGAAGTCATGAACACGCAGGAATCCATTGGTTCCAATAGCAGTGACATCCATGGTCAAATTGGAGAGGAAAGAGCAGTAGAAGGTTGCTACTTTCCCATCAGTCCAGCGTAAGGAAGCACCACATGATAGAATCACACCTGTTTGGGGAAATTAGCCCAAACTATATACATTTTATTATTTAAATCAAAAATAATATGGGCAACAAATTGACAAATGTAAAAACAAAATATAAATAAAGTTGAAAGAACTTCTGATAGCTTGGCGTGTAATCACTGTCTTAAAATAGCAGTCACGTATCAAATTAAACATCTTATCAACATGTAATTGAGAGTGAAAATTGGAACTTAAAGTAGAATTCTAGTTAATGAGAAGTGTTAGTTTTAAACACTTCCTTTAATTTTAGTAAAATATTATTCAGACATAATCTTGGAGACTTAATCAAATACAAGTGTCTTAGCATACAGTAGAAAGAAGGCATGGAGCATAAATAATTAAATATTGTATAGATATACAAAAAAGGGCGGCTCATTATACTATTCTCTCACTATTGCATTGTTTATAAATAATCAAATATATGCAGCCTATTATATAAATAAAAAGGTTGTTTTCCCATGATATGATTAGAAACTCTCGTATCTCCACACATTGTCAACTATCGACTAAGAACTATGATCTAACTAAAATATCAAAAAAATATTCTTAATATGATATCTTCCATTTTTTAATAATAAAATTTTTATATCTTATTCTTTTTAAGATCAACCTTTACGAAATTTATGATTATAATATATTTTTTAGTATGGCACTTTTTTGATACCTTATAGTCATGTTTTATTTTTAATATTCTTTGGTCGGAGAAAAAGGCAGTGGGTAAGAATTCGGATTTTCTCGCTCAATGTTTGATTTGGAGATTTTATAGTTACAACAATTCGTTAGGATTAAATCTACTCTTCAGCACCTAGAACATGCGGTGAGACTCTAACTTTGGCCCCGACGTAGATGCAATAAGATTCCTTATAAATAGTTGTGTGGTGTTAAAGGTAATACTCCTTAACTGATTTACAGAGTAGTCTATTTACATATCCATTTTATGTACCAAAAAAAAAAGGTTGAGATGTCAATATCTTTGAAATATTGACAATTTTAAGGATAATTTAAGTGGTAAGAGGGGCAAAAAATTGAGATGAGACCGTAAAGAATTTATCTCTTGTAAAGACACTAGTCCTATATAAATAATCTGTTTTTGATCAGATCGAAAAATAATTAATCGAAGTACTAGGCCCAACAATCCTAACCTTTGAATTAAAAAAAAAATTCTCAAGTATTATTTTCGACGGAATTATCAAATGACAAAATCGAAAATCAAAGAAAAAAAATAAGCCCTCGACCATATTACCGATTTGAGCTGGCCAAAACGCTGCGGATCAGAGAGAAACTCTCTCATCTTAGCCGTTCGTGGATGATGCATCCACATGGTGGCGTCCTGTACTGCACACCATTGGATTCACAAGCTTTCAAAATAGCGTCGAGTTCCTTCACATTTAGAGCCACCGGCTTCTCCAACAACACGTGCTTCTTCTTCTTGGCGGCCAAGACGGCCCACCGTAGGTGAAGGCTCGTCGGAAGGGGGATATAAACTGCGTCAACGTCGGGGTCATTCAAAACGGCGTCGTAGCTACCGTAGACTTTAGCCGTTGCCGGAAAACCGTTTTCCGTTGCAAATTTTGAGGCATTTTCGATGGAACGGCTTCCGATGGCGCTTATATTGCAGTTCGGGGCGAGTTTCATGGCCCGTGATACTTTCCGGGCTATGGTAGCACAGCCCAAGATTCTAAGATTCCACCCATCTATAATAAGATAGTCAGGTGCTCTTTCCAAATTTCACACACTTTTCTTTTTAAATTTCACAAATTCAATACAAATATTCTACAACACATAGCTACACATATTCTAATTCTCATTCACTATACACACATGCACATTATATATACATTTCAGTTGTACACACACTCCATGCATAATTTTATAATTTAATATTCAGTAATTTAAGTCACAGGTTATCGTTCGTTAGTATGTATATATCCTTTATTAGGTTGTGTTTTTTGAGCTTAAAGTTATAGGTACTGGTACACCATGTCTATATACATATACACTGCCCGATCAAATAGCGGTACTTAACCAAAAATAAGGTGTGGCCATAAATTTTTTGGCATTTAATATTACTCAAATATGTGATTGTAAAATTTTTGTTATTAAATATTACTTTTTAAAATTGATAAATTTGCAAATAAATATAATAACATTACCTTAAAGAGTTGTAACTCAACTCAAATACTTGGAACTTCAGCCACGGTTTTTTTATGGTAATTACTTGTAACCTAACTCTAAATATTTGTAACCTAACCTTAAATGTAGTAATTTTACTACAAATAGTTATAACATCACTTTTATAGATAGTAATTTTACTTTTAGTTATGGTAACATTACCTAACCTTTAATTGTTGTAACCTAACTTTTAAGAATTATAACCTCATTTTCAAAGATAATAATTTTACTTTTAATTATTGTAACCTTTCTTAACCTTTAATACCTAACATTTAATTGTTTTAACCTAACTTTTAAGAGTTTGTACCTCACATTTAAAGTTCAAAATTATAAATTTAAAATTCATAAAAATAACATTAAATTAAAATTCATAAAATTAAATTAAAATTCATTAAATTAAAATTCATAAATTAAAATTCATAAAATTAAAATTAAATTAAAATTCATAAAATTAACATTAAACTAAAATTCATAAAATTAAAATTAAATTAAAATTCATTAAATTAAAATTCATTAAATTAACATTAAATTAAAATTCATAAAATTAACATTAAATTAAAATTCATAAAATTAAAATCAAATTAAAATTCATTAAATTAACATTAAATTAAAATTCATTAAATTAACATTAAATTAAAATTCATTAAAATTAACATTAAATTAAAATTCATTAAAATTAACATTAAATTAAATTTCATAAAATTAACATTAAATTAAAATTCATGTTCTGCTCATTAGTGTACAACCATTGATCTGTTGATTTAATTTTCTTTGTTTTTTTTTGGATGTAAACCTATAACTTGCTCAGCTGGTAAATAAAAGGATAATTAAAATCAATCGTACATTTACATGATCGATCTAATTTTTTTTTAGTTGTACTTATGTTACAATCTTACTGGGGAGAGCGTCTTACCTATGGGGTAAATAAGGAAGTGAGATCGATCATACACAATAAAGATCGATCCTAATGTTATATACATTGAATTCTTGAGATCAAAATAATGAAAAATATGATCGATCTTAATTATTTACGATCGATCTTAGGTATGTGTTCTATCAACATTAAGTAAGATCGATCTTAAGATTTAAATTTTTTTTTCCCTTAAGATTTAATATAATGGACATTAAAAGTAATGTTACAATTTTGTAGGAAAGATTACAAGCTTTGTTAGTAGGTTTATAGGCGATGTGAGATAAGTTATCCATCAATTAGTAAGGTTACCAGTAATATAGGAAAAGTTGTTACAAATAATGGTGGAATTACTCCAATCAGTGGCAAAGATGTAATCGTTATGGATGATATTATAACATTTTGATGAAAGGTTATTCCTTGTTGATGTAAGGTTACAATTTCTATAAGGAATATGACAATATTAAAAATAAGGTTATCACCTAATTAGACTAAGTTATCCATTGAAAAGTAATTTTATCCAATATTGAGGAAAAGTTACAATGCATAAAGGTTAAATTATGTTTGTCAGTGACAAAGAGGTAACCTTTAAGGGGTGAGGTTATAAAATGAAGAGGTAAGGTTACTACGTTTATAGGTAGGAGTATAATGTTTATAATAAGATTACCACCTATTGAGGTAAAGTTACCAATTGAAAAAAATGTAAGTTTATTGACTAAAAAAGAACACTTACAATGCATAACGGTAAAATTACTCCTGTATGTGACAAATATGTAATCGTTATGGGTGAAGTTATAATAAATTTGTTGTCAAGTTACTATTTAGAGAGGTAATGTTGTAATATTTAGAGGTAAGGTTAAAACATTTTGTAGTAAGGTTACAACAAGTTGATGTAAAGGTAGTGTATGATGATAGGTTAGTACATGTTGATGTTGAGGTTAGGTTAGTACCGTTAAAATGCATTGAGGTAAACTTACTCTTGTCATTGGGAAAGTAATAACCTTTAGGGGTGAGGTTATAAAAAAGGATAATTAAAATCGATCATACAATAACATAATCGATCAAATTAATTTTTTATTTTTTTTTATATTATAATCTTACTGGGGTGGAGCGTCTTGCCTATGGGGGGAATAGAGAAATTGGGGTCGATCATATATAATAATGATCGATCCTAAAATGATATACATTGGCATTAAGGAGAGGAAAATCGTGAATTGTATGATCGATCTTAATTATTTGCGATATGTCTCAAATATATGTTCGATCGAAATTATGTACGATAGATCTTAATATTTAATGTATAAATGGACATTAAAAGTAAGGTTACATTTTATGAGTCTTAATTTAATGTTAATTTTATGAATTTTAATTTAATGTTAATTTTATGAATTTTAATTTAATGTTAATTTTATGAATTTTAATTTAATTTTAATTGTATGAATTTTAAATTAATATTACTTTTATGAATTTTAAATTTATAATTTTGAACTTTAAATGTGAGGTACAAACTCTTAAAAGTTAGATTATAACAATTAAATGTTAGGTATTAAAAGTTAGATAAGATTATAATAATTAAAAGTAAAATTATTATCTTTGAAAGTGAAGTTATAAGTCTTAAACGTTAGGTTACATCAATTAAATATTAGGTAAGATTATCACAATTAAAAGTAAAATTACTATCTCTGAAAGTGATGATGTTATAACTATTTATGGTAAAATTACTACATTTAATATTAGGTTACAAGTATTTAAAGTTAGGTTATAAGTAATAAAGGTAAAAATACCATAAAAAATGACAGTTGATGTTACAAGTATTGGAAGTAAGTTACAATCTTTTAATATAATGTTATTAGTAAAGTTATCACCTTTAAGAAGTACTTCCTCTATTCCTAAATATCTGTCGTTTAAAGTTTTTGCACAGGAATTTAGGAAGCTATTATATAGCTCTAATATGAGTAAAAAATAATTACACAAGACTAAAATACTCTTATTTAATACGTATTGGGAAAGAAAGGAATATGAAAGGCACTTAACTTTCATCTAATCTAATGCATTAAAAAATTAAAAATAAATTTGATAGAAAAAATATTAATTATATTTTTATTTCATTAAACAACAAATATTTAAAAACGAAGAAAATAATATTTAATGACAAAAAATTTGTAGCCACACATTTGAGTAATATTAAATACCAAAAACATTTATGACCACACATTTTTTCGGTACGGCACCGTACCGTAGACTCTCCGTATATCACAGGCGGCGCTGCTATCTTGACTGGTGCTGACGTCAGGGTGTTAGTCATCCCAATTCCAATAATGTGTTTTGTGTGGACAGCATCCGATGAACTCGAATGTGTGCATTTTTTTATTTTTTTATTTTTGTATTTAATAATTATAAATTATTCAAAATCAATAATCAATATTTTTTTTTCAACTCCATACTAAAAAAATACTCTGCTCTTGCTCCCACCTCTCATAATAGAACTTGTAATATGTTGCATTAATGGGGTCGTGTCCTATCATTTTTATACCTTTATTTGAGTCATTTTATTTTTATTTATGTTGTTAATGTATCAATATTTTTGTAAATAAGAAATTATTTCATTTAAGTTTATTAAAAAATAAATAAAGTAATGGAAAAAATATATATTGCATGTAATTTTGATCCAACCTATTAAATATTTTATCGTTTAAGTTATATAATTTTATATCGTGTTTATGTTGTGTCTAATCAATAAAATTGACAATTCTACTCACAACCATAATCAATTTGCTAGGACAAACGGTTGGAGAGCCCATGTTTTATGGAGAAAAAAATATTTATTGCTTTTTGAATAATGTTACTAATACCTAACTTGAACACTTAATTTAATGATATAATATATTGGGTTAATCTCATTTTGTACCCTGAAAAATCGTTCGAATATCAATTTGCACCCCCAAAGATCAAAAATCTCAATTTGCACCCTCGAAGATAAAAATTTGTATCAATGTACACCCCCAAAGATCAAAAATCTCAATTTACACCGTCAAAGATATAAATCTGTATCAATGTGCCCCTAAAATTAAATTGATAAATTATACCTAGATCCCCTCGTGTTTGTCACTTAATCATTTGAACCCCTTTACATTTAGAATATTACCCCTACATCTCATGACGTTTGTACATGTGTAAACATAACCACTTTTCGTTGATATTTATTAATATAATCGTTAAAAAATATGATTTTATTTTAATAAAAAATTATAATTTCATATTACCCTTTATTTTGTAGATTTGATATACTCTAAAGTTCAAAATCAAGCTTACCATTTGAATGTCTAATAGAATGTAGATATTTATATAAAGGAAAATATAAAAAACATTATATAAATATCTACATTTTATTAGACATTCAAATGGTAAGCTTGATTTTGAATTTTAGAGTATATTGGACCCATAAAATAAGGGTAATATGAAATTATAATTTTTTATTAGGATAAAATTATATTTTTTAACGGTTATATTAACAGATATCAATGAAAATGAGTTACATGTTGTACGTGCATAAATGTTATGAGATGTAAGAGTAATATTCTAAATGTAAAAAGGTCCAAATGATTAAGTGACAAACATGAAGAGATCTAGGTATATTTTATCAATTTAGTTTTAAGTGCATAATGATACAAATTTTTATATTTGAGAGTGCAAATTGGGATTTTTTATCTTTGGGGTGCACATTGATATAAATTTCTATCTTTGAGGGTGCAAATTGAGATTTTTGATCTTTGGGGGTACACATTGATACAAATTTCTATCTTTGAGGGTGCAAATTGAGATTTTTTATCTTTGGGGGTGCACATTGATACAAATTTCTATTTTTGAGGGTGCAAATTGAGATTTTTACTCTTTGAGGGTGCAAATTGAGATTCGAACGATCTTTCGGGGTGTAAAATGAGATTAACCCTAATATATTTATGTTATTGATTTAATTTGTTGACATTCAGCAGTAAAATTATCTTTAATTTCTTTCTTGACAGATTATGTATCATTTAATTTTTGATTAATTTGTAGCTACATATAATTTTTATTCTAAACAATGTTCATATACAATAACTTTACACTTGTTAATATTTTTTTTGACATCGTATATTTTGAGAAAAATCATCTTCACAGCATATATAGAAAACCCCAACAAAATGTTGAACATTATATTGTGTATTTACCTGACAGAGGAAAAGAAGACTTGGAAGATGTGAGTGACCTATTCTTTTAACCAATCTATGAATTTAGATTTCATTTTTGTGTTGCTTAGGCTTGAAATCTTAGCCTGTTGCATATGATTAAAGCAATAATAGTTCTTAGAATTACCTTGTTAAATCATTTCTAATCACTGCAAATAAAGACATAAACAAAAGTGGACATGTTCTAGCAAACGAATTGAAAAGTCTATCCTCAGTCCTCACCCTCAGAACATGATCATCCCCTCACGCTGTCTTAGAATCACTCTTGACAATTGATGATACCAAAACTAATACTAGAAAGAAGTAGAAGAATATTTTCGTATCTCATTTACAGCAAGGCTCAGTAACAAAGTCTAACGCCCGACCTCTAATTGCGTACCCAAACATAGGCAGCAATGTCCAAGTTGACCAAGTACGACTTACAAGCAAGGATGACCAGGTCGTTCATATCATCTCAATGGAAAGTACAGTATTTCTAGCTCAAGTCAAGACCTTAGATCGAGCTTTTTTATTCACGAGCTGACCAAAAGAACAAGAGTGGATCGCCCCAAAAGAATAACCTCTTATTGACGCAAAGGATCACATCCTTATAGAACAAGAGTGTGTTTGAGTTTTTAACATCATCATCAACATCCTCTAGTTTTGAGAGGGTATTCTTTGAACAGATAAATTTCGCTCACTCTTATTTTGTATAATTCCAAAATATATCATTATTATTTCTAATATTACACTAACATCCCTTCACATGATCCTTCCTGCCTGCTTTCTTTTGTACTGTGAAAGAGGAATTTAGAAAAACCAAGAATATGTAGTAGTAGATTTATCATAAAAGAATATGTTCAAATGGGTGTCTGACGGATTGAGAGACAAGGGAACTCCTAACATTGGTAAAATAATCTTGAATATTTATCATAAATTTTAATTTTTGAGCTACAAATTTGCTTGTTTTATGCCATTGATATCTGCAAAACCATAAAAAAATATTTAACCATCTCAAATTGTAAAATAGGTTTTTTTGTGCATAAAAGAAAACCTGCCTCATGTTTGTTTACCAATATCATTAATTTGTAATTTACTTTGTGAATTGTTTAGTTCAATAGATGTACTTCTTTTGTGAATTAAGCATATGTTTTCTCTATTCTCACATGGTGCTGTTCAGTAATATGAATAGTATTATGTCGTCTGCCTCCTCCCTTCTTTCTCTCCCCTTTCACTTATTCTTCACCGAGTCCTTTACTCTTTTAGTTCTGGCTAACCCTTTTCTGTTATTATCCTTATTCTTCCATATCTCATACTGGAAGTTTATCTTGCTTTAAAATCATATTTTAAACCATTGAAACCAACCCTATAACCTTAATTTTCTGTCTCAAATCCCTTCTACATTAACTACTCTTTGTTTCTTATCCATTACTACTCAAGCCCTTACTTCAACACCTTACTAACGTGCTGAAATCTCTATTTTTTCCTGCATCAGTCTTGTTTTCTTCCCAGGAAAAAAAAAATGCCCTCATCTATTTTCCTCGTGCCCTCACAATGACTTAACGAGACACAAATCAGACCTTATAAATTTAAGAAGCTGTAAGGGATGAAACCCTCCACTCAGGATTTCGGCTTGACCTCCGCGCGTTCGGGAGTAGCCTTTACCCCTCTTCCTGAGCCGGAGCCCTGGCCTAGCCTAATGTGGGGAGGGCGCACCGTATCCCACATCGGAAGAGAGTCGTCTTCTCCCCTCGCATATAAGCCCTTGCACTCAAAGGAGGAGGTACCCACTAGCGACCTGATCAGGTGCCTAGTGGGTACCTCCTCCTTTGAGTGCAAGGGCTTATATGCGAGGGGGGAAGACGACTCTCTTCCGATGTGGGATACGGTGCGCCCTCCCCACATTAGGCTAGGCCAGGGCTCCGGCTCAGGAGATCAGGTGCCTAGTGGGTACCTCCTCCTTTGAGTGCAAGGGCTTATATGCGTGGGGGGAAGACGACTCTCTTCCGATGTGGGATACGGTGCGCCCTCCCCACATTAGGCTAGGCCAGGGCTCCGGCTCAGGAAGAGGGGTAAAGGCTACTCCCGAACGCGCGGAGGTCAAGCCGAAATCCTGAGTGGAGGGTTTCATCCCTTACAGAAGCCATCTCTGTTTGGTTTAATCATATGCATTTCATTGATTTGTCTACCTAAAACCATATTCCTTTTCACGACTTTGGGATCAGTCCTTTTGGATCAGGTTAATAAGTATGAATAGATGGTGCCCAGCAACAACCTCCTCTTTAGAAAAAATGGAAAAAAAAAAAAAAAACAAAACAAAACAGAATAGACTTGATGACGAGATCGACTTTTTTACTAAAACTTCCCATCACGTTCCTTCATTTCCTGTTTCTCTTTCTTCTGTAGATTCAGACTAAATTTAGGAGAAGGTTCAGACTAAAAGCTATCTAATTCAATTTTTTGTTGGATGTTTGAAACAATTTCTGTTTGGATTGATGTTTCCTTTTCTGAAAACTTGAATTAATTTTTATTATAGTTCTCATATTAGGAATTAAACAATTCCAAGGAGTTTATTTCATTTTATGAGGAAACAATGCCCTTGGTATGAACACTTGCCACAAATAATGCAGAAGGAATTGATACATTCAAAGCTTCTTAATAGATTTCATTTGAAATGGAGGCTATCTATTGAGTTGTTACTCAGGTATGTCAGCATGTACAATTGGTACATTATGTAACGGAACAGATATGAGCAAGAATGGAATGAAAAGTTTGATTAAACATGTTACTTTGCTATTTTATGGTATTTTTGTCCTTTTTCCATTTGTCATTTTTATGGGTTCTATGGTATTTTTAATGGTACTTCAAATATATATGTGTGTGTGTGTGTGTGTTATGTGTGCGTGTGTGTGCAATTATATCAGGCTATTCTACTCTTTTCTTTTGTTGTACAAAAAAAATAAAGATAGAGATGAAATGGACATCAAAGAGAGACGAATCTAAAATAAGAACTGCGTATCAATTTTATAACTTTTGTACTTTTGTTTATCTAGAAAATTTTTATGTAGAGAGATTGTTTTTTATTTTTACCAAGTTATGGTTGATACGGACATCTACAAATCTATAATTGATGCAAAGGATTTCATTACTCGATCTTCCTTCAAAATTTTTGGCAGTTATATTCAACTATTGTTCAGTAGTTCCTATTTAATTTTGGTTTGGTTAATGATCAAGGGAAATTGAATGAGTAGTAATTGGTAGTTTAACGGTTAGAGACATGGACTGAGAGTTGCTATTATGAGTTTCTATTTCAATGCATCATTGTGTTATGAGTAACACAATTTTTTCATTCTTCTTAATTTTGACTTTTTTCTCGCTAGAAAAAGAATGAGAAATTTTCTCCATTGGTAGCATGCAATGTGGATGGAACGGTTTTAAATTTTTTTTTTAAATGGAATAGATTAAAACTAAGATAGATAAAAATGTCAGTATCTCTTGCTGATTGATTTACTCACTAGCTGTTGATGAGTAGTTATACTATTTGTTGAGAAAGCCTTCTTAGTATTGTAACATAATTTTTGTCTTTACATTATTTTTATTTCTTCTCAGATTTTGAATGAATTTAGTCTTACTTTGATGTCAAAATAAATAAACATAAACTTGTTAACTACATAAATCATAGCTCACAATGATTCATGTGCAACGCACATGTGCACCAACTATCTATATATATATAACTTCACATACAAATAGACACCAGAAAACATGGCAGAAATTTTACACGAGAGAATCCAGACCCTTATTCATATATAAATAAAAGCCCCGTATAAAAAGGCACACAGTAAAGTGCTATTAATCGAAGGCAAACATGTAATAAACACCATTACAATTCAAACAAAGATGCCAAGCATTAGACAAATGATTCAAGGCACCACTTCAACAGGCTCAAAATCCTTCTCAATTGACGCCATGACAGCATCTATCACCAGTTGTGTCTTTCTACTAATGGTAGGCCATTTCTTCTCAGGCGATGCACCTTTTTCGTTAATACCAGCAACCAAATTAGCAAACACCTGCACCATGAGGGCTTCCTGAGGAAGATCTGTATCAATTGCGTGCTCACTTGGTACAGGTTCAATCCCTATAGCCAGATTTGCAAACCTTGAGTTTGAGGCTTCATAAAACGGTGCACCATTCTCTTGAAAAGGAATAACAAAGTCATGAACACACAGATATCCATTTGTTCCAAGAGCTGTTATGTCCATGGTCAAATTAGTTAGGAAAGAGCAATAGAAGGTTGCTGTTTTCCCATCTGTCCAGCGTAATAGAGCACCGCAAGATAGAATCACACCTGCTTCATTGTATTCAGGCTCAGGCAAAGCTGTTACTGTTTTAGGCAGTTCATATTCATTAGCCCATAAGATTGCCCTGGTGCAATACCACCCAGTATCACCCAAAGCTCCAAGAGCATCAAGATCAGGTTTAATGCGAATGTCATCCTTGAGAAATTCAGGACCACCAACATAACTAAAAATGCTGTGTACCTGTAGTAAAAAATTAGCCAAAAATCATCTTCACAACATATATAGCAAACCCCAACAAAATGTTGTACATTCTATGAGTGACCTATTCTTTTAACCAATCTATGAATTCAGATTTCATTTTTGTGTTGCTTAGGCTTGAAATCTTAGTATGTTGCATATGATTAAGGCAATAATAGTTCTTAGAATTACCTTGTAAAATCATTTCTAATCACCGCATATAAGGATAGAAACAAAAGTGAACATGCTCCAGCAAACGAATTGAAAAGTCTATTCTCAGTCCTCGCCCTCAGAACATGATCATCCCCCCACCCTGTCTTAGAACCACTCTTGACGATTGATGATACCAAAATTAATACCAGAAATAAGTTGAAGAATATTTTCATATCTCGTTTACTGCAAGGCTCAATAATGAAGTGTAACCCCCGACCTCTAATTTTTATTTTTATTTTTTGGGAGGGGGAAAGGAGAAAGGGGGCTGAACCCTTAACCTAAAGAAGACAAAACCTTCACAAAATAAAAAATACCATTGGACCAATGGCTTATTGGTACCTCTAATTGCATACCTAGCAATGTCCAAGTACGACTTCAAGCAAGAATGACCAAGTCGTTTATATCATCTCACGGGAAAGTTCAGTATTTCTAGCTCAAGCCAAGAGCATAGATCGAACTCTTTTATTCATGAGCTGACCAAAAAAACAAGAATGGGTCACCCCAAAAGAATAACCTCTCATTGGTGCAAAGGATCACAACATATGTAAAGCTTGGAGAAGGGTATCGATCCCACCTCATCATGTTTTAAAAACACACATCACACCTAACAAAATCCTAACAAATTAAGGGACTATGCAATGATGACGTGAGGACCACCACACCTATGGGCATAAATATATGAGGCAATCACACACAAACGCACCAATTGCAATCCAAAAACAAGTAATCTCTATCTTTTTCTCCGGGCAATAGAAAAGCCTCCAAGTTGGAGTGGACTAATCAAACTCTTCTGACCAGTGAAACACTGCAATCTAGGTGTTCTTCCTTATGTTCTAGCTCTTACCTGATTGCTCACACTGTTCTCACCACAATCACTATTCCATACCCTTAAGCTTCTTAGCTTGAGCACCTAGGTCACATCCTCCAGTTTTGAGAGGGTATTCTTTGAACAGATAAATTTTGCTGACTCTTATTTTGTATAATTCCAAGATATATCATTATTATTTCTAATATTACCCTAACATTCCTTCACATGATCCTTCATGCCTGCCTTATTTTGTACTGTGAAAGAGGAATTTAGAAAAACCAGAATATGTAGTAGTAGATTTCCTAACGCCCAAATTGAACTTCAATTCAGGTGTTTATTTCCAAGGCATCACAGTCACAATTCCTAATATAAGATAGCTATGTTTTGGAATTTATGGGTATATTTTCTTCCCAAATTTCACACATTCCCCACAAATTTCACAATCATTATATATACAAACACTAATTATATACACAATCCAGTTGTACACATACTCCCATAGTATCATAGTGTAGTATACATACAGGGTATCGCTAGTAATATAATAAAACAAATAAGATAAAGTGATCCCCAATTACAAATTTTCTATAGGAAAAAAATTAGAAGACGGAGATTAAAAATCTGAGAAAATCAAATAAAACTTCAGGCAAGTACCGATTTGAGTTGGCCAAAACGCTGCGGATCAGAGAGGAATTCTCTCATCTTAGCTGTCCGTGGATGATGCATCCACATGGTAGCGTCCATGTACTGCACACCATTGGATTCACACGCCTCCAGAATAGTATCCAATTCCTTCACGTTCAGAGCCACCGGCTTCTCCAACAACACGTGCTTCTTCTTCTCGGCTGCCAGGACAGCCCACCGGAGGTGAAGGCTCGTCGGAAGCGGAATATAAACGGCCTCCACGTCGGGGTCGTCCAATACGGCGTCGTAGCTGCCGTAGACTTTTGCCGACGCCGGAAATTCGTTCTCCGCCGCGAATTGGGAGGCCTTTTCGATCGAACGGCTTCCGATGGCGGTTATGGCGCAGTTGGGGGCGAGTTTCATGGCCCTTGATACTTTCCGAGCAATGTTAGCGCAGCCTAAGATTCCGAAACGGACCTTGGTTTCGGCCATAGCATAGCCTCTGGTTATGTCTTCAGCTGGGATGGGGGATTTTTACAGAAAGAGTGAAGACAGTGTTGGTTAGTGGACTCAATAGTGGAGGGTACTATATATTGACAAAAATTATTATAAAATAAAAGTAATATTACGATGGACTCCCTCATATGAAATAATTCATTGCATTGTCAAAGTCATTGTCCAAGACAGTGAAATTAGATATATTTTTATTATCATAAATAGTAGTAAAATATATCAAATTTTACTATGAATAACGATGAAATACCCTCAATATCCAAGTCCAAGATGGTAAAATTGTGTACAAGATGGAAAGTGCAATAATAGTTTCATGCTTAGCTCATTTGAAAGTTGGAGGGAACATTTATAATATAAAGCAGGATGAGTTTCAATATGTCAATTTGATAATATCAAATATATTTATTCAACGGTCATCAAAATCTCTCTCAAAATTATACACATTAATTTATGTTATACTGTAGCTTCAAGCTACGAGTTACCCCTAATATTGTAATATTTAAAACAATAAAAAACTTATTGCAACAAGGGACATAATTGGAAAAGGCAAATTATAATTAATCCTTAATTTTTTGACACTGTAGTTCTATTAAAACTAGAACTATTTTATTTATTTTTTTGTTTTGTAGTGGAAGACTTTGTCTTCGCCCAAATGTAGTGTTGCACTAGAAAATAAGAAAACTATTAGATAATACAAATGAAATCTTAAAAATATAATTTAAATACATATTATGAGTAAATTTTACTAAAAAAATTGATAGTCAGTCGAACTTGGATAGTGTAGGCCTAAAGCTTTACCCAAGTGAATTATTGGGCGAATTTCGAGTAGGGGTAGGCTACCCGCAACTTAATCCGTGAGTTTATTGGGTAGGCTTACTGGACAAGTCTGCTCACATGTTTTTTTATAAATAATTTTATTTAAAAATAATAAATATTTTTGTAACTTAATATTTATGTAAATTGTATTTTTAAATTAAAAGTAGAATCAAAATGAATAAAAAAATTATTATTATTATTATTTTTATTATTTTTGATTAAAAAACATCTAATAAAATATATACATCTCAACTAAGTTGACACCAGTTTAACTTATCTATAATTTGCATAATTTCAAAACTCGGCCCGACAAAGAGATCAGGCAGAATTGTTAACTCTATTTTTAAAATGCATCCTATTTTGACTAGTATCAACCCACCAATTCACTAATGCAGCAAGAATCAGGCTTGTACTCGAAAAACTCATCAACCTGAGGTGAAATGGGACAGGGGACAGGGGACAGGGGACAGAAGAAGGAGCCTCATACGAGAAAAAAAAATTAGAAAAATTTTCACTTAGAACTTTCGAAGACTCCTTTCACTAAATGCAATTCGCCCTCGATATTGATTAGCCCATAAGATTACTCAGGTGCCATGCAATACCACCAAGCATCTCTCAAAGCTCGGAGAGAATCGAGATCGGGTATAACCCGAATGTCATTCTTAAGAAATTCAAGACAAAGGAAAATGCTGTGTACCTGTAGAAAATTGACGAAAACTGATTTTCAGTGCAGCTGATATTTAAAATTGTTAGGTCATGACACACTTCTGCCTTCTATCAATCATGTGGTGTATTAAATTTTACTATATGTTCAGGACAAGTAAAATATTGAATTGTAGTTAATATTATTATAAAAAGAAAATGAGACTTATTGATTCAATGATACCTATTAATTTGGTAAATAAAATATATGTCAAAGAAATCAAAACAAAAATAATAATTGAAACAAATTTTCAATGTTGCGAGGTATCTATCTTATTTTGAGGTGTTTTGATATATTTTCATCAATTTCTTTAGAATATTTTGAAGTGTTTTAAAATATTTTGACTAATATTTTAAAAATAATTATTAATTTTTATTCTACTTTTGAAATATTTTCTTACCTCAATAATACACCAAAACAAAATTTTGATCATTGTCTATATAATAGGTTAAAATAAAATTGAATAAATTTAATTTTTAATTAATGAATATAAATAGGATAAATTTAGTAAATAATAGAGTGGGTATAAATGAGATAAACTTAATAATTTAAACTCAGATTACTAAATAGGATGAAAAATGAGATTTAAGAGATAGAAATAACCCCCCTCATTTATTTGAAGCTGATTGTCTACTAGCGGGACAGTTATGGAGTGTCCAATACAAATAAGATTAGGTTTTGATTTCTATTGTTGAATACTTGTAGAGTGACGACGACGACGAGTGACGATATTAGCAAACAACCATAGAAGACTCTCACTTTTGAACCTTAAATTCGTGGATTCAAAACTCGTTATCCACTTCTGATATAACAGTGTCTAACAAAAAAATAAAAAAAAAACATGCTACTATTTTTCATCTATTATCTAACGGTAAAATTGGTATAGGTTAGAGAGTAATGTGAGAAAATCGATACTAGATGGATAACACTAAAACTTGAAAGTAGTGCAAGGTTTTCCACAACTGCTGTGTTCCTACACACATAATTACCAAGAAATATGGAAGAAAAAAAATCATCAGGAAAAGCAACCCAATTGCGAAACGAATTTAACAATATTAATATCAAGTATCAACAGGCAGCAAGACGTATAAAATCTCACTTGATAAATGGTTTTGATGAAGATGTAAATTTCTTCAACAAGTTCACGATAAAAGCTTGAGATTGTCCATGGCAGATTATTACACAATAGGTGCTACCACATGAGAAGACAAGAGAGCTACAACTCAAGTTCAAACAAAAAAAAAATTCCATAAAATATAAATCAACCCGCAACAAACATCAATGTAACCAGCAACGCGCACGGCAATAGGGACTGAAATGTAACCTGCAATTCCACACTTTCTAGGGGCCTCAAGATCTCACTACACATCACACATGTCATGCATTTCCGAATGAGAACTTATCGTTATACCTGAAAGGGAAATATGAAGGCCTTGTAATGACCAATTATGTTTTCAGTGTGTCTTTATCCCAGGGTCATTTTAGGTGTTCAGGCTTAATCAACTATAACTCGAGCTTTGCAGAATTAGCTTTCCAGAATCCCCGTATTTCTAGATCTCTACTGTCAGTAAACATAAACAATTTTGACTAGTAATGAAGTCCCAAATGCAAAAAAAGGTTTCCTGATCAAATTTGCAGCAGAAAGTACACAATCTAAATAGCGCTTTGGTGCTTTATTTCCATATCATAAAGGTTACAGTAGGTGTTTCTACATAGCACTTTATTAATCAAATTTAGAATCAAGCCCGAAATTACCCCAAGCCAGACCAGCAAGCCAGATACATGAACAGACAATAGCAGGCCTTAATTTACATACAACAAGAAGCACTCCAGTTCAAAATACCTTGTGGAACGTGAAAATTCTAAATTAACTCACAACCTCGACAGCCACCAAACCTCCGTCAATGGACGCTTTTACTGCATCCAACACCAGCTGTGTCTTTCGGCTGAGGGTTGGCCACTTCTTCTCTGGTTTTAAACCATTGTTTTTAATGCTCCCAACCAACCTAGAAAACTCTTTCAGCATAAGGGCTTCCTGGGGAAGATCTGTCACGACGGTGTGCTCACTTGGCTTTGCTAACCACCCTGTCACAAGTTCTGTAAACCAAGATTCTGTACCTGCAGTGAATGAAGCCTTGTTTTCTTCAAAAGGGACAACAAAGTCATTAAGATGCAAAGTGCCCTTTGTTCCAACAAAAGTTACATTCATGGTCAAGTTGGCCAGGAAAGAGCAGTGGAAGGTTGCTACTTTCCCGTCTTCCCAACATAACGAGGCACCACACGACACAATCACCCCTGCTTTGTTGAAAACAGACCCGTGCAAAGCAATTACTGATTTGGGAAGTTCAAAATCAGCAGCCCAAAGGATTGCCCTGATGCAGTACCACCCAACATCACCAAGAGCACCAAGAGCATCAAGATCCGGCTTCACACGAATATCATTCTCGAGAAAATCAGGATCAGCAGCAAATGTAAAGCAGCTATGTACCTGAAAGAATCAAAATATATCACTTTCGGACAAAAAGCAAAGTTCTCACACTAACTGAAAGAGAGTTTATGTAGCAAAACGAGGCTTTAACAATGTATATTTATGTTTTCAAGTTATTGCCCAAACAACACATTCCCCCATCCAACAGCTCGAATAGGAAGGTCTCACAAACTGTAATCAGACCATCAGAGGCCAAACCACATATTTAAAACTAGGGGGGCGAACTAGGCGTGGAACATGACATCATATGTAATTTTTAGTTAGCGTACATCTAACACTCCCACTCCCACTCCCCAGACCCCAAATTGTGAGAGCCTCGTATCCTGGTACACCCTTTATCTTGAAAAATCTCTGCTTCAAGGAACCAAATTAATAGCTTAAAAATTGACCAAAGAGGGGCAAAAACTTTAGGGTATGCCCCCCATCCTTCTATGTAATTCCCAAACTCAGGACAGACAAATCAGAACTGGATTGTCAAATGATAATATATCGATTGAATATAATTGCACAGAGCAGTTCTTGATAGAAGTACCGATTTCAGAACACCGAACCGGCCGGGATCGGAGAGGAATTCCCTCATCTTAGCCGCCCGAGGATGATGCATCCACATGGTACCATCCATGAATTGCACACCATTGGATTCACACGCCTCGAGAATCACGTCCAATTCCTTCACGTTCAGCGCTACCGGCTTCTCCGACAGCACGTGCTTCTTCTTCTGAGCAGCCAAAACGATCCAGCGAACGCGCAGGCTCGTCGGAAGAGGAACGTAAACGGCGTCGACGTCGGGATCATCCAAAACGGCTTCGTAGCTCCCGTAGATTTTCGCCGACGGAGGAAACCCATTTGCGGACGCGAATCTGGAGGCCTTTTCGATCGAACGGCTGCCGACGGCGTAGAGAGTGGCGTTGGTTGAAAGCTTTATGGCCCGTGAAACTTTCCGAGCAATTTCGGCGCAGCCAAGGATTCCGAACCGAATTGGGGTTTCGGCCATTTTTGGGTTTAGGGGTTTGTTGTCTGTGCGCTTGGTAGCTGTGAGAGTGAAGA